ATATTTGACGTTTCGCGATTTTTGTTTATAGCTATTCACAGATAGAACTGATCAGAACTTGCAGACGAGGTGTTCGTTTGTATTTCAACGTTAAAAGGTATGTGAATTTAGGCAAAACAGTTTTGTTTACAGCTTTCATAAATAGAACGTTTCGCGAGAAGTTTTGCTTTAAAAGAGTTGATTTATCATGAAGTTATTGCAAGCGGTTGCCATAGCAACTTAGATTTTAGATGATTTTTTGAAAACAGTACGATTTATACCTTTTTACTATATTACAAAGTTTCAGTTCTTTACAGAGTTCTATAGTTTGTTAAAAGTAAATTTCTTCATGACTTGTGGTATGTCATAGAAAGGAAATAAACAAAAGTATTTTTATTTAGACATGGATTTGGTAGTTAAAATTGCCGAGTGTCAGACAATAGCTGAATTATCAACCTTGGAAAGGTTATATATGTTGAATGAAGTGGGACAACGCCTTCTTTTCGAGAGGAAATTGGACATTTTTCGTCGAATAACGGAATGGAGAGTAGAAAATGAGTAGCTAGGGCTTACGGCTGACTTTACGGACACCTGGACACCGGAACAACGTGAAAGATTCATGCGTGAATGGCAAAACGATGACCCCCTGTTACAAATGGGCCGTGGCGAGAAACGATCCATAGACGAAGTGATGACGGTGCAACTGACGAGGTTAGCGATAACTTTTTTACCGTGACAAATATGAAACAAATTAAAGTGAAAAAATTCAGCACGACATGTGTGGATTATACAGTACAATTCACGGACACGTTTGCTCATTTGGAGCTTTCTCAGTTCCACGACCGTCTCCATGGAATATTTGAAAGTTTATTGGATAGCATTACACGAGATATTCCTGAACATGATCAAGTACGTTTTGTATTGCATTCACCTCAGCTTGAAAAACCTATCTCTCTTCCTTTCATGGCTATTTCTCGTTTGACAACAGAGCGGGTTTTAGCTGAAATTGAGCGTGTCATTCAATCCAACCATGAATTTTGTCTAAACGACAGTGTCAAAGTGAATTTGGTCCATGATGAAATGCCCAATGGCGGTACCGGAACAAAACGCAGTGAAATTAATTTGGAAAAGCATTTGAGCAATAAAAGGGCAATTGTTCGTATTCAGAACAAGGATGATTTATGTTTAGCTCGAGCTTTAGTTGTTTCGATTGCCAAAATTGAAAACGATAGCCGATATAAAATTATAGCTGATCATCGCCGGCCAATGCAAACACGTTTAGCTCATGATTTGCACGAAATTTAGAGGGTCACGATTTTTAGAGGGTCATTTTTTTACACAGGTACAGTACTTTAACTAAATCTTTTTTACAGGGTGTTTGAAATGTTATGCAAGGGGCACCGTCAACAAATTCAGCGAAAAGACCATGCATGATCTCCATCAAGCCACCATGGAGAAGACCCAATACCTTAAAGATCGTGGCCTCCATGTTGTCGAAATGTGGGAGTGCGACATGAAGAAAGAATTGGAATGAAACAGTACTTCGAGGATTACGATGTGGTGGATCCTTTGGAACCACGACATGCTTTCTATGGTGGTCGAACCAACGCAGCGAAACTCTTCCACGAATGCAAAGAGGATGAGAAGATAAGGTATGTTGTTAGTGCATCCCAATAGATCTAGGAACAGGAGTTTAATTAATGTCCTTTTTTCTTACAGGTACGTCGACTTCACCAGTCTCTATCCCTGGTGTAACAAGATGACCAAAACGGTGATTGGTCGGCCTCGTATCATCACTGAAAACTTTGATGATATTACCACTTACTTTGGCTTGATCAAGTATTACCACCTCGTGGACTTTTCCATCCAGTCCTTCCCTATCGAACCCAAGGCAAACTGATGTTTCCTCTGTGCAAAGCCTGCGCTGATACGTGTAACCAAACCCCTTGTACTCATTCCGAGCGTGAAAGAGCTATCCAAGGAACCTGGTGCAGCGTGGAATTAGAGAAAGCCCTGGAGAAAGGTTACCGTATCCTCCAAATGCACGAAGTGTGGCATTTTCCCGAAACCTCTGACACGCTGTTCAAGGACTATGTGGACACTTTCCTCAAAATCAAGCAAGAATCCAGTGGTTATCCCAAGAATTGTACCACCGAGGAACAGAAACAGCAGTACGTCGACGAATACTTGGCAGTCGAAGGAATACAACTAGATCGAGAAAAGATCGAACACAATCCAGGGATGCGTGCATTGTCCAAACTGATGCTGAATTCGTTTTGGGGTATGTATTTTTAAACGGTAATGTTCTCGCAAGGACGGCGAGGTAAACTTATCTTTTACAGGCACTTATAGTAGATTTTTTCCCCTTAGGAAAATTTGCGCAACGGTCCAATATGGCCAAGGTGGAATTGATTAAAGATCCCCAAGTGTATTTCGACTATCTATCGTCGGATGAAATCAATGTACTCGACGTGAGATTCGTAAGCGACGAAATGGTCGAGCTTCGTTACGAGTACAACGAGAATTTCGTTGAACCCAACGCCAAAACGAACGTAGTCATCGCCGCCTTTACCACCGCCTATGCCCGTCTCAAACTCTATGGGGTGTTGGATCAACTTCAAGAGCGAGTGTTATATTACGACACGGACTCGGTGATATTTGTTAGCAAACCCGACGAACCGGAACCTCCGCTAGGTCCTTACCTAGGCCAATTGACCAACGTATTGAAAGAAGGACATATTACAACCTTCATTTCGGGCGGACCGAAGAATTACTGTTACAAGACTAGTACCAACAAGGTCGAGACGAAGATACGAGGGATTACCTTGAATTGTACCGCCATGCAAAAAGTGAATTTTGATGTCATTCGTTCGCTCGCGTATCTTCTTGATGTCATTCGTTCGCTCGTGTGTCTTCATGCCAAATGTAATGTTACGGGGCAAGTTACCGTGGATATACCGTTAAAGATAACTCGGAACACGAGGACCAAAAACATTGAAACCAAACGCATGAGAAAAGACTACAGAATAGTTTATGATAAACGTTTGCTTTATTGTAGATGATTACAAAACATTACCTTATGGGTACTAATAACTGTTGAAATAAATATATTTACGAGATCGTTTGATCTCAATGTTAATTTCTAATGTTCAGTTTGTGATAATGATCCAAATTCACCCCCGTTTCTTTTTCCAATGCCTCGATCTGCTTTTCGTTTTTTCTAGCCATGTCCCACATCAACATTTCTTTCGCGTTCATATGATAGGTAAAGGTGTTTCCCTGGGGAGCCCGAGGTACGGTTATACCCGTTAATGTTTCCAGTATGATTTGCGTCAATATGATGGAGTGCAACGTCGGATTGTCAATAAGCGTTGCTGGTATGATATTCTTCTCTATCAAAAGTTTCATCAAATCCAGAGTTGCCAAATTTCCCTCTTGCGTAGCCTGCGTGCAGGCCCAAGGGAACTGATAGTGGGCCTGCAACCATCACCCCATGTTTTCGATTTTCGCCGGCCGAACCGCCGGCTAAATTCCCATTGGCTAGCTGAGGCGATCGGTAATTAATTAACCTAGCGTGCAGGCCCAAGGGAACAGTGATTCATCACAAAGGCATAGTAAGCTTAAAATTTGAAAATTGATCACTTTTTTCGATTACAAATGGAACAAGAACAGACTGTTTATTGTTTACTTGAAGGAAGACATGTTTTTGCCGTTATGCCAATGGGGATTGCTTGTCGTGAGGTGTTGGAATAGCAAATTACGACTGGGGTAAACTATAGTAACCTTTACTTAAGTTTCATTAATTTCAAACAGACTTCAGTTGATACGTTATGTGTTTTCACTTCCTCAAGAAAATTATTTTTTGGTTGATGTTGAGATGCAGTTGCATGTAAGGACTGTAAGCCTATTCGAAACACTTTGCGATTTACAAGGCTTCGCTGAGAGAGCGAAACAGAAGGCGGTATTACAGTAAAAATACAAAAAGTGTCCCACTTCCGCTTCTGTAGTTTGTTGTGATTTACTGTAATTTGTTCTGTTTTTCTGTAGCGAGTACCGATTTATCGGCAAATACTGCGATAAAATTTAAATTCCGTTCCTTTTATGCAATGAAACTAACGAAAAATGTATTATTTCCCTTTGCTACAACTTATCATATTTAAAAATAAAAAAAACTAAGTTTTATCGCAGTATTTGTCGATAAATCGGTAATCGCTACAGAAAAACAGAACAAATTACAGTAAATCACAACAAACTACAGAAGCGGAAGTGGGACACTTTTTGTATTTTCACTGTAAATTGCCGTTTGAAACGAAACGATCTGGACTCGGAACGCTCTCTTCTTTTGTAGAGGTCTTTACCAAATGAAATAAATTTCGTACTTTCCGCCGCCAACAAGAATTGCACACACGATCTGAAAAGTGAGACAATTTATTTATAACAATGCCAATGGCGACAGCGAAGCACACATAATATAAATCCTGAATGTGGTCGCACGACTTCCCTCATGATTTGAAGTTTGAGACTGGTTTTCTGTTAAAATTCGTCCTAATTTGCCTGTTCCGATTTTAGTTGAAAATGAGCACTTCCAAATTTGGCAATTACTGACTGCGTTTCTTGCTTTTTTGGAGTTAAAACGCAGCCATTTACACATTGTTTATTAGTGTTCTGAATAAGTAGAGAAAACCCCGCAAATTTTAATGCAAGTTTGTTTGTTAATATTTGGGTGCTGTCATTGGTTCTTTTTTGACAATTGACGCGCGAATGGGGCGTGTTATGAAAAGGGGCGTTTTACAAAATACCGGGCGATAGTTGCAGGCCCACTATCAGTTCCCTTGGGCCTGCACGCAGGCTACCTCTTGCGTAATAATATAATTTTGTCCGAGAGCCAGTGAGTGACAATGTTTTTCCAAGTCATGTCTGCATTGAATGATCGTGAAATCAGGAAAGCTACTGAGCTTTTATAGATTTTGATTACATAACATTGTGCAATGTATCAACAAACTTTCCCAATACGTCAAAATCTGTAGAAATGTATCCATGTCTGACGCATGCATACCAAACCTTTTCGACAAATTCCTGATTGGTAACTATTTTAACGTCAGCGTAAAACGGAAATCCGTTTCTTTCCAACTCTTCATCGGTCACTTCGTCTAATAGTTTATCACCCAAACTAGATAAACACATATTGAGACGAACCACAAGCTTTTCTTTAGAGAAGAATAGTATTTCGATAGTCATCCTGACGCTGTCCAACGATGAATGAAATCTGTAGAGGCATCGTGCCTTTTTATAGGTTACAATAACTGAAAGATCACGTGTTTCAATGCCCGTCTGTGCTCCACGCAAAAGATAGTTTTCCAATCGTCCGCCGTATACTCGATTAATTCGAAATCATATACTTTCATATCGCTCAGACTTCCCGTAAAAGCTTCCTTCACTTTTGTTTCCGAAGCCTTTTCCAGAGCATGATCAAAGTATAGACATAACCGTTCGTCTCTTTCCACCGTAAGACACTGATAATGCGTTTGAGACAGATGTTCTGTCATGTATCTGTTACAATTCTCAACAACGAGCTGAGAGATGATAGAAGCGATTTCTTCAGCTGAAACTTTTAAAAGTTTCTTGACGATAAGTTTCTGACGTTAATAAAGAATGAATTCCCTATTGTCAATATCGATAGGTTTAGATATGTTTGCTCTTTGTCTGATCAAAAGCTCTTTGTCTGATCAAAAGTAATGACTGTTTCTTCCCAATGGAAAAAACGTTTTATATGTGCGTGCACCTTTATTTAGACATGGATTTGGCAGTCTTCTCATATTCGAGTGTACGTCATGGGACACTCTGCCAGTAAAAATTCGAAGATCAATAAAAATCATAATAAACAGAAAATGGTTAGAATCGGTATAAGTGCAGGAAGAAAGGATCGAAATCTCGAGGGGCATGTACAAGTGGGGTATTGTAGTAAAACCGTCAAAAATTACAATCCCATTGAAAAGACCCAGGAGAATAGTATTCAAAACGTTGAAGAATGAAAAGGATTTTGTCATTTTGCGTGTGAACATGGACGACTACTTATCTAGCGTGTATTACAATCCAAAACGACCCGGAGGATTTGGCGGTGCGGAACGTTTGTATGAAGACGTTAAAAAGGAAGGAAGGTTCGCGCTAAGTCGTAAAGAAATTAGGGAATGGCAGACGAAAGAAGATGCATATACGTTGCATAAACCCATGCGTCGTCACTTTAAACGAAACCGTGTCATCGTGGGCGGTATCGATCAACAGTGGCAAATGGATCTGGCGGATATGCAATCCATGCAGAAGTTTAATGATGGATATCGCTATCTACTCATGTGCATCGATGTTTTTTTCCAAATATGCATGGGTAGTCCAGTTGAAAAACAAGACGGGTCCTACACTGGTCGAAGCTTTCAAAGTCATTTTAACGTCTGGACGCAAAACCGAAAAGATCGTGACGGATCAAGGAACAGAGTTTCTAAACAAACATTTCCGAGCGTTGATAAAAGAAGAAGACATCGAACTGTACAATACGTACAATGAAACGAAAGCTTCTATCGTGGAACGTCTCATTCGTACTTTAAAAACCAAAATGTGGCGCTATTTTACGGCCAAGAAAACCATGCGATACGTAGACATGTTACCCGATCTGATCTATTCCTGCAACCATAGTGTTCACCGTAGCATCAAGACAAAACCCGTGGACGTTACTGCTGAGAATGAGAAGAAAGTGTGGCACACTCTGTATGATGACCATAACGTCGTGAAAAATGTAAAGTACAAATTCAGGATTGGCGATCAAGTAAAAATTAGCAAGATGAAACGAACATTTGAAAAAGGATACTTGCCGAATTTCTCCAAAGAGATTTTTACAATAAGCAAGCAAATACCACGTGATCCTCCAGTGTACAAACTAAAAGATCTGGACGGTGAAGAACTCAAAGGAACATTTTACGAAAAGGAGCTGCAAAAGATCATCAAGGAAGATGATGTCTACGAAATTGAGAAAATCTTGAAGAAACGTGGACGAGGCAATAATGTACATTATCTTGTAAAATGGTTAGGGTACCCCAATAAATTTAATTCGTGGGTACCCGCTTCTGAAATAAGTAAGATTTAAACCGTTGAACGTGCTGTTCATTTGTCATTCTCATCGGTGAGTGGAACACATTTTTACCTTACGCTTCCGGGCAATGCATCCCTGGACGATAACAAAACGACCGAATATCGTGTGAAATTACCGCAACCCGTTGAGTTGGACGGCAATTGGGAAGTCGGACTGTATTTCATTCTTTACCCAAACACCTGGTATACTCTACGAGATATTAATGTGGACACGCACTTCTATTACGTTGAAGGCACTGGATGGCCTTCGGTGGCAACCGTGAAGTACGGACACTATGAAACCATGCAAGATTTTGTTAAAAACATGAATGCCGCTTTGGAACTTGAAATTGGTAATAGTACTACCATATACCTAACATACAGCACTCTGACGGGAAAAGTGACCGTTCACTTGAAACCCAAATGCAAACTTTTACTATTTGGCAAAATGTCCCTCATCCTGGGATTCGGCGGAAAAGAGGTAACAATTGTCAAAACGGGCGAAATTCCCTACGTTACAGATTTGTCTACCTTTACATCGATCTACACGTATTGCAACATCATTCAGCCGCAGATCGTTGGAGATACGAGTGCGCAATTACTTCGAAGCATTCCCATCGAAGGAAAGTATGGCGATATCGTTACGAAAACGTTCACCAACATACAATACGTGCCTGTTCAAACGAAATTCTTCGGAGACGTGAAAATTCTTTTAAGGAACGACACGAACGATCCAGTGCCATTCGAACGAGGGAAGGTGATAGCGACACTACATTTCAGACAGCATACATACTTCACATGAGGAAGATGAATAATCCGTACGTACGTTACTTGGATCAACAACAGGGGCGTGGCATGCCCGTTCAGGGGCAGCCCATGGCAGGCCGGGTATATGGGCAACAGACAGGGTACGGCCTGGGGAGCCTGTTCCGCAGCGTGGCAAGAACAGTGATGCCCATGGTGAAAAGCGGAGCGAAAGCTCTTGGAAACATCGCCCTAAGAAGTGGCGCCAATTTTGTGGGCGACATTCTCGCCAGTAGAAACGTAAAGGAAGCGGCAAAAGCACGAACTGTAGAGGCTGCCAACGTTGCAAAAAGAAAAGCCATCAATAAACTAAGGAGTCAAACGGGGAGAGGAAAACGGAAGCGCTCAAAAAGTGTAAAGCGCTCAAGAAGTGTAAAGTGAACAGCTAAAAAGAGAAAGGCATCGACCATCGTCAGACGCAGTCAGAGTAAGAAACGGAAAACAGTTAAAAAGAGAAAGGCATCTAAATCCAGCGCAGACAGACCAAGAGACGGAAAACAGCTCAAGACATATTTGGTTAAAACCATGAATCTCGTACATTCCAAATCGCAGGAATGCACAAAAAGCAAACTCAATCTATTACTCTGTGCCCCCCAACACAGATCAGTTTAGAGAAAGGACATTGGATGGATCATCAGCCCGTCTCCAGTGTAGCCGATGGTGGTGTCATTACGTTCCTGTCTCCAGGCACTGAAGATTATGTGGACCTTGCTAGAACGATTCTCGTGGTGAGAGCGAAAGTGACAAAACCCGATGGTACGGATCTCGGAGCAGCCGAAAAGGTATGGTATTTTTCATGGCGAATAGAAAATACCGTTTCCAAATATTAATTTTTTGGCCATTGATATCCAGTTCTCCGTAGCGCCTGCAGCCGCAGTGAGTCTCGTATGTTACGGAGAGTTCGAGAATACCGTGCACATCGATTCCGAAAGAAACGTTGTCTACGATTACTCTGGATGAACACTGCCCAGATAACCCATGTCTTGGAACAAGATCCTGTAACAAGCAAGAAGTTTTGTGGTGTGTTCGCTAGCGACAAGTTACCTCAGACGATCGAGAGATATCTGTGTGGATTCGTTGCGAACACTGATCCAAGCAGTGGACCTGGAACCCATTGGGACGCCTTCTACTTTCCATCGGAAGAGAAGGGAGAATTCTTTGACAGTTACGGACATGCACCCGAGTACTATAGGAAATCGTTTGGAGACTTTTTAAAGTCTCGCGCATGGGATTTTAATAGACGTAAATTGCAAAGTGCTTGGTCGGATGTATGTGGCCAGTATTGCATATTTTACCTTAGCCATAGAGCAAGAGGTCAGAACATGAGTGAATATTGTAAATGTATTTAACAATGATACTGTCTTTAAATGATACAAAAGTATCCCAGTTTGTTAAGAGGCATTTTAAGGTATTGTTAAAACATTCCAATGTTAACCTTAATCAGTTCAGTAAAAAGATGTTTTCAATAAAATTGTTGTAAAAAACTAGTGTGTGTTCTTTTTATTCTGCGCATGCGCACAAACTCACGTCCCGCATGCGAACCGTGCATAAAAATACCGCCCCGAGAGAACTGACGTCAATACAAAATTGGTTTTAAAAACATTTTATTATTACATGCAAACAGTTACAACATTTTTAATAAGGAAGCCATTGTTTTGGTTTCGCCGCCTGTCTTCTGAGTAAACCACGGAGATATTTCGCGGGACTTGCACGTGGCCTGGTGATGTTGGTGGCGGTGGTCTCGGTGGCGGTGTCTTAAAAACAACCTCTTCCGCACCAGACGGACTGCCCATTTGAACCTGATTTCATCTTTCCGTGTTTCTTGCAATATCTTTGGGTACATTAATCTTTGACAGTCCGCGAAAGAATTCCTGCGCTCCCTTGGGATTAAAATTCTTACGTGCCCGCATGGCATCAATGACCAAATCCGATATATTTGAATCAGGAATCTCTTTGCCGTCCACTTTAACTTGACCAGATTCGTCCCAGGAAATAACGTCGGGTCTTGCTTTCAAACGTCTCAAAAGAGTTGCGGCTTTCGGGCGTAGGGTTACAGGTAAATGACCGATCACGTCCGCGTCAGATAAAGGCGCTCTCTCTTTGGACTTCTGTTCCGCATCCGGTGCTATGCGGACTGTAGGTATCTGATCGTCCTTCTGCCACCTCAAACTCAGATAACTTTCCATGTTCGCATTGTACAATTTCTGTTTTTCGGCATCGGATATGTCTGTACTCTGAAGAATATCTGACATTGCCGTATCCTGATGCATCATGTTGGCTGTAATTGGGGAGGTCTCAATCTTTTGTTTTCGCTTGATATGTTTCAAAAGACGCCTTCGTCTCAACATTATAACTTACGAGGTTATGCCACAAATCTCTATCTGCCCAAACCTAAGACCGAATATCTTAAAAAAGGTCTTAGTTATAGAGGAGCAAAATTGTGGAATGGCCTCCCAGATAGACTAAGAAATATATGTTCTCTTAGTCAATTTAACTTGGGTGTGCGGCACCTGGCCAGTTAGATAATGAGTTTATGAAATTTTATTTATTTGACCATAGTAGAGTAATTATAATTGTATAATTGTATTGTAATGTGTTAGTCTTGTATATATATTTATCCTAATTGAGTGTAACGTTCGTATTTTTAAACCTACGCCCCTCTTGGAAATCAGCTCTTGCTGTAGGGGTTAGCGTAGACAAATAAAGTTTTTACTTACTACTTACTTACTGCTCATAACACTTAAGCACGTCGTCCGGGACCAATACCATGCGTTTCGCATGCTTCATACTAATAAACTTCCGAGTACACTCAACACTGGTGGTAAGAGAGCTGACAATAAATTTCCACCTTTTTGATTAAGGCGTTGCTTTTTCCGTTTTCTCGATACTTTCTTACTGGCCAGATCACGGAGGTGTGCCTTGTAACGCGCTAAACGTCGCTTTTGACGAGGTGATAATGGGATGACACCTTTAAGCAAATTCAGGGAACACTCGCAGATAGCGGTGATGACCTCCGGAGGAACGTTGTTGATCATGAATTTATGTAGTTTAGGTCCGCATGTCCCCATGACCTGAAGATACGGCAGACTTCCTTCCATGCGCTTCGACATCTTGAAAATGATCCGTTTTCAGCTTTTAAGCACGTTTCACATAAACAATCTGTCTCTCTTCGGGTAAAATGTTGGTCCTCAAACGCATATTTTCCGGTGTCAGCTGATGGCAATCGATGACTAAATATCCATAAGACCTGCTTGTCGCATCATGAAATGCATCCAGAAGGTATCCGGTATATGTTTAGGAAACATCTGTCTGGCAAGTGTGGAAACACCAAGCGAGTCACGTGGGTTTCTAAACACGACGAGAACGTGATCGACTGTTCAAACTAATCGTTCGAGAACGTTCGCCTGGCGGGAACAAATTCTGGGTAAGGTACATGCCAAGGTGATGGGAATCACGTGTAAACAAGTCCGAGACACGTGGGTCGTTGGAACATTGAGACATCAAGTCATCGAGCACGACTAACGAGTTATCATGTCCGCGGGTCATTTCGCATAAATTATCGGGAAATCCTTCCACGAGAGTCAAATTAGGCATTGACTGCAACATTTGTTCGAATTCTTTCTGATATATGCCGTAACAATATATTATTTTGGTTGGCACGGGAATAAATAGTTCCTCTGCATGCCGTAACATGGAACGAACCAAATAGGATTTCCTGCTCTGACTGCATGTGTCCACAAATATAAAAATTTGCTGGCGTTTTAAATCTCACGTCCATCGTGTTCACGTGCACAACACGCACTGCGTTATTATTTGATGTGTCCGTTCGTTTTATAACCAGATCCGAGAAATCATTCTACGGAAAATACTCTCTTCTTCAATTCGATATGCACTAAAGTCAAAGCTTCTCAGAGGGGCCGCAACCAAACGAACGACCCTCCGCGAACAAGGGCAAATAATGTTAGCCAATCAGCGCGTTTGTTTACATTTTGCGTTCTTGACCAATCAGAATGCCTGAAATTCGAAACATGTAAACAAAAGGAGTGAGAAAATAACACCTTGTTCTACGCCCTCGGTGACATTCGATATTAAACTTTTTTCGCCAAAACTGACAAATTCTGATAAAACATGCTTTCTTCTTTAATTTCCTCGGGGGGATTTTTAAAATTCGATCTAGAACGCGAAATATTTATGTTTGAATAACAGTGTTTCGACGCGCGTACACACACATAAAAAAATTGGTAGATTTGGCAGTTTAAACTTATTTTCCCCACACCACAGCTGTCATGTTTTTAAATATTACCTATCTAATCTCATCGATCTCATTTCGCATCGGAAATGCGTCACAACGATCCAGGACTGACAGGTACAATATGCGTCACAACGATCCAGGACTGACAGGTACAATATCGCATGACTCATTACTGTACATTAAAAGTACATATCCGGTTGGCAAAATGGCGATTGTCTGCAAGACCTTCGCGAAGGGCTTAATATTTTTGCTAATAAACTGTTCACGAGGGTTTCGTTCTGTTCGTCTTCTGGTTCGTCGTCAATCGTCATCGGCTGCCTCACTTCTTGGTCGCTTTCGTCCTCTTCAAAGCAAGTCGCCGGAGCAAACAGCGTTAGTATTTGCTGTCTTTCCAAGAGCTTCAACGTTGCTTTACAAACTGGGCTATCGCTGATGTTGGGCAGGATGCATTTGATGTGGAACGAAGGTCCACAACCACGGAAAACGTTCCAAGTGGATTAACCTTTTTGCAGGCAGGCAAATCGCAAATCGATGGAAATTTTAAAGGAAGATTTATATTTTATATTTACAGATCTTGATACATTTATAGTCAGTACGTCCTTGGAAATTGTTCCAAAATATGAGTGTGTACCAAAGTTAAAATATTACTCATAATCTCTAGAACATGTTTGAATGTTTTGAATCACTGCAGTTTAGAACTAGCAGTCCTTTAACTCTTTTAAAGACAACAGAACTGGCAGCCATGGCACCCCATAACTATTTAGTGTACAATACTAGTCAATGTAATTAATTACTACCTCCCCCAACCCAGAAGTAGGCAGTTTTTACTTCTCAGCACTGTCACTATCTGTAAATATCTGTGTGTAAATATCTGGTTTTGTCTCGGTGACCCTGCTTTGCCCCACACTTTGGGATTTGAGCAGGCAGGGATTTATATTGTCTGGTATTGGTTCATAGTTTACCATAATCACAGGATATTATTGAAAGATTTTCCTACCAATTCACTGCCTTAAAAGCATTATATTATTTGCTCTGTGTGTGTGTGTGTTACTTTAAGTGTACTCTGGTTCCAGAGGCTCTTTGCGAGGCGAAAGAAACAAGATGCGAGAACGGAGAGCCTCTGGTCACATCAGGGCCGTATCACCAGGGGGCAGTAAGGCTTATATGTTGAAAAAAGTTCCAAATATCCAAAGAATAATTAATGACATTCTAAAAATTGTAAATATAGTTTTCTTTAGGGTCTGTAAATATAGTTTTCTTTATAATTGTAAATATAGTTTTCTTTAGCCCAGGGTCACTGTCCATTGCGAATCCCACTTCCACACTTGATTAGGTTCAGCAATTGAATTTCGCATGTGATTGCCCATTTGTAAAAATATGCCAAACTGGCTTGGGAAATAAACATTGCTGTAAGCTAATTATAGTCTGTATTAAAATATTCTATTAAACTCAACCAAGAATGTATTACATGTCCTGCAAAACTGTTGATATGTTTATCTCCTGAGAAATTTAATACCTTTTCGAGTTTACTATAATAGTTTGGGGCTTTTTAATTGGGGCTTCGGTGGCCAAGTGGTTAGTGCACTTGCCTGTCACCTCTGAGGCCGCAGGTTCAAGTCAGTGAGAACTTTCTCAATGCGACTCAAACCCAGTCCTCATGTGAAAAGAATAAACCGCAACGCTCTGCTGAACGTCACAGGTTTTCCCC